GTAAGAGGAAATATCAGAGTTGGCCTCGGTTTCTCTCAATGCCACATGGGCTTATAGTGAAGACAATCCCCCTTCTCTTCTTGACATTGGGGCTCAAGCTCTCTGTAGTCCACTGGCTCTCCTTACCTGTCTCTTGACACCATCAGCTCCAGTGCCCCATGAACTTTTCAGAACCCCAAAAGCCACAAATTGACATTCCTTTGCTATATTTAATCTGAAGTAGGGTCCATTTAAAAGTCCTACTGAGGTGGCCAAATCCAAACCTGTGAATGGATACAACATTCCGAGGACTTATACAGGCAATGAAGGTGAGCTGTGTGTGACTGTGAGCTGTGTATGAGAACCTGGAAGGGACTGTGTTGGTTCTGAGACTGCGTCCATCACAGTCAGGGTGCTGCTGACTGTTGGGGCTGGGGGTGGCTGTTTCCAGTGTAGAAAAAGCTTGTCACACTTCATGTCCCACTGCAGCTCTATGCTCATGTTTTTTCATTCAGGCTCATTTTTAGCACAAGGCCTTTTCCACTGGCCACCACTAATTCTGCCACCACCTCCTCTTCAGAGGGCAGGCTGAGCAGCCTCTTGACTGCCTGGTTTGATGCATCATCCCAGTGAGTGCCACTGCCCAAAACAAGGACATTAGCAGCGTTGGCTGAGGTGTGTTGGAGCTAGAAGTTCTTAAACAGGGTGGGATGGTGTCTGGTACCTCTGACAGAACCAGAGGTAGAACAAAAACCTGGGGTCCTTGTTTCTCACATCTCTGCCTCAATTAGCACAGTGCACTTCCTTCTGCTTTTTTAAGCAGCTATGAGCTTTCCCTCTTGCCTGACCACCAGATCAATGCGAATGCCACAACTTTAGCACTTGCATCTACTTCATAAGCACTGGGCAGCTGCTGTAATATTGCAACATTCATGATGTCACTGCTGGGTTTAAGCCAGTGGTCTATTTTATGATTAAAGTTTTTTTTCCCACTGGAACAACTTCAAGATTTTTTCATCACTAGCTCCTGTTTATTCTTTGCACCAGTGAAGTGTAAAACATGGAAAGAAAAGGAGTGAGGGGGAGAAGTAGACTGGTCTGTGGCAAAGACTTCAGCAAAGCTCACCTCATGAAAACTTAGAAGCTTGCTGAGAATTTTTTTTATATGGGAAAATATGAAATGAACATTTCTAAGTGAGAGGGCTGGGGGTTTCCTGGTCTTCTGCAGCAAATACAGAGAGATCACACCTTCCCCCCCACAGAAGCCTTTTCTGTGGAGCCATATGCATCCCGAGGGACAAAACAGAGCAGCTCCTAAACACAATAAACATTACTCTGTCTGCATTAGTTTTTACAATTCTTTGTTTTATTTCTCGTTTTGTTTGAAATGACCTGTACCACAGGAATACAATTTATTTAACAGGTTGTTATTTTTTTAGGAGCAGATAATAGTTAAGTAGATACTGTTTATTTCACTGACTGTCTATGACTCTCTGCATCATTCTCACAGCCTCTGTCTCTGGCTTCACCACATAACCTAGCCACAAGAACAACAGAGCGGCCTTTGGCCATACAATTGATTATAGCTTGTGGATACAAAGTGGAAGCTCTGTTTTCTTAGCTCCAATTGGTAATGCAAGCTCAACATGTTACATTCTAGGGTCTTTCTCAATTACTTGCCCCTCTAATAGCTGCTTACATGTTTCTGGTGAAGCATGTTTTATTTTATATATTTATAACAGTTAAAAAAAAAAAAAAGATGACATAGCTTACAAAGAGAAAAATAATGCCCCCTTAGCATGAGCAATACTGCAAGGTTCTGATTGTTGTGGGGACGTTTCTTGTAGCTTCACAGATTTGCTAGGAGGTGTAATGCCCAGGTTTCCCCAGAAACCTAAATCCAGAGTAGTAATTTACCTTTTAATTGATCCCCATGAAATTTGTTTTGCATTACAGGTCAGACACTGCTGTTCCCGGAGAAAATGTGCCCAAAACAGAAGCGCTGGTCACTTGGGAAGAACTGCCTTTTGTAGTAGCTGACAGGTACGTGGTTTCTGTTTTCCACGCATGCAAATCAGGGGCTGGAGCTGCTTTTACCATAGTTGCTGGTGTGAGTTTATTCACTGTCACTGATACACTTACCTCTATTGCTTCTCTTTTCTTTAAGTCATAGAGCCCATCTGTGTCCCAAGGCTCAAGCTCCATCATCTTTTACCCCATGAAGAAGGACAGCTGTGTGACACTGACTCTGGGAATCCTATATTACAAATGAGCAGCATAAAGGGCACTGACCCAGAACCCATTTCCTAGTTCATGTCTCACTTCCACATCCCCAGACCTTTTTGTAAGAGACTGTGAACATTCAAAGACCTAAGCAGTTGCTGAAGCTTCATTTCCTACTTCAAAGTGCATTGGGGGGACTACACTATGTTACACTCCTCTGCAATCCCAGCTCATTGTGTAGCTGGAAATGCTCCTCAGCTGTGTCAGTGTGATAGTACCAATGATGCACAGCAGATCAGAGTAACTGGGAAGAGATGATTGTGATTCCTGCTCTTGTTTGCAGGGCTCAAGAGACCTGACCTGCCTCCCAATTTAGGATGTTACAAGCCTTTTAAGGGTTAAATCTAGACAGGTGTTTGTGTCCCAGTTCCTGGGGAAGAGCTTGCATTCCTCGGTTAGAGAGTTTAATATATCCTGTCTGGTTCACTTCTCATCCTATTTCAGAAGAAATGCAAACATTTCCCTGCATATTATCTTCAAGCCATGAAGAATATTCAGATGGGCTCCAACATTATGCAGCTTTAACGGAGAAAGAAGTTCCTGGAAAAAAATGTATTTGGTATCTTCTTGGTATTGCTGCGCCAACGCAGGAGTTGCCTCCATCCCATTGTCCTAATCTAAATAGCCAGCAGTCTCTGTGAGCTAGAAGCTAACTCAGCAGCTCTCCATAATCATGTTTTGTAGATAGTTTCCTATTATGGAGACCAGGCCTGAGTTCAAATACAACAAAGCTAGAAGAGCTTTTGGGGTTGTTTCTGGGTAATTTTGGTTTTGGTTTTTTTTTTTTGGGGGGGGGTGGAGGGATTGGGTGGGTATGTTGGTGTGTGAGTAAGTGACCTTTCCAGCAGGGCCCAACAGAGTAAGAATAGCTTCTTAGAATCTTTTAAACCCCTTTTTGGGACAGCTACCTTTGCACAGCAGGCTGGGACACAATGTGCTGCAGCTCAGCTGGGTGGGATTTGGCAGCATTGCAGCAGTGGTCAAGTGAGTCAAACTTATAGGTGTTAATGCAACCCAGCACATCTGTGAAAGCAATTATACCACAGTCAGAAAAAGTTGCCAGAGTACAGCACATGACAAGCTGGCTCTGTAATGGTGGCATGCATTTCACTTTGGTCCCTCAGTCACAGATGGGTACAGGGATCACGAGTGCAACCAAAAGCCTCTCATTTTCTCCCCAGCTGCCTCTGGGAGGGAATGGGGGAGAGAAGCACGAGTATTTGCTCAAAGCACAAGGCCACTGTGTAATTGCTGCTGCTGTGAGCACAGAAGGAATCCCAGGCCCCATGTGCCTTCTGCCCCTTAGGTCTCTGGTGGTTTGCTAATATGCCTGAAGCAAGACAAATCCTTTATCAAGTGAGTACAAAATGAGTGACTGTGTAGCATAGGAAGAACTCAAAGGAGATGGAATGGAACTAACTTAAGTACAAGGTGTGGGCTGGCTGTGAGAGCTGAGAGGTCACCATGTGCACCCCTGTGTCTGAGCCTGCCAGGGCAGGGTCCTGCAGTACTGACAGCCCTGCTGGGACACATTCTGCTCCAGCAGAAAACAAGCACCCAGTGTCTCTGATCAAACACCTCAACCCTGGTTTGGAAGACTTCCTCCTGAGGGCAAATTACTCCTCTGACACACCACCTTTTTCCTGGGGAAGCCAGGAAGGGGTGGAAGCTCGAGGAGAACAGAGGCAAGAGAGTTAGTGGTGTCTCAAATGTAGATCAGAGGTTTTTTCTCACCTCTAGTGTCATGCTGCTGACCACAAGAAAAGACAATATACTCAGGTTTCGTCAGCTCAGGATGGCTTAAAACTAAGTGACCTAGAAAATAAAGTTTCAGAGAACACCAACAGTCAGTTTTTTCAGTCACCTACATTCCCCTCTGGCTACTGGGAATGCAGCAATTATGGCTTAGGCAGCAGATCTAAACCAGGTCTTGGAGACAGCAGGAACCTGATTACATAAGAGGAGTAAATAAACATTCCCCCTGTTCTTCTCTCACCACCTCAAGGTCAGGTATTTGCTTTCTGATCAGCAAGATAACCTCTTACCAGCCCCAGGTTTAACCTATGCTAGCTCTTTTCCTGCTGCTGAGGATAATGGGATGAGGCAGGTGAAGACAGTAGTTGGAGTAGCAGGGGTTTCATGCCACCCTCTAATTTATTTCCCTAGGCTGCCACAAGAAAGCAACCTCTCAGGCTCTAGAGCTGCCTCCTCTGAAAAGCAGTGCCCTTGACTCCTAACTAGAATTTGGCAATAAGCCTAAAGTCTCTGTGGAGCCAAAGAGCTCTAATGAGTCTAGGAAAGGTCTGGTTTGGAGTGTATTTATACTTGGGCAGTAACCATGCAGACAAAGCCTTGTGTTCTCTGCCACAAGGAACAGGTAGGGAATGGCACTCAGCTGAGCTGAAGAGGCAGGTGTGATACACTATGGGGTGAAAAGTGTGGAAGAATTGTAGTTAGCACCACATAGGAGAGGATGCAGAGATTATCAAGTCAACCCAGCACTGAAGCATAACATCAGGCTCTTTTCTGTTGCCATTTGGGAAAGACTTGCATTTTCTCAGGTACATACCTCCTACCTCTTCAGGGGCCTGCGAGGGTTGTACATGGGAGGGACTAGCCAGGCGTAATGACACACTGTACAAGGTGGCAGAATATCTTACACAGTTAGGAGCATCTTTCCCAGTAAGGAGTGGGGCCTGTATGTACAAGTGTTAGAGGAGTCTGGGAGGCAGCCTTTTTGTTCAGGAGAGGTCCAGCAGCATTGCTCTCCAAAGGAGCATCTACTCTATGGTAAGAGTCAGAAAGGTGGCAAAAAAAAAAAGGACCGTGGCTGCTTCCCTTTCTAACTGACTCCTCGTAACACTAGCAGATAAAATTTATATTGACTGTATTCTTCCTCTCTTCCTGCTTCTGCCCCACTCCCCCACCAGATCTGGCAGAGGGAGCTGGGAAGCAGGCAGCCTGGACAGCGCTGAGAGCATCACTGATCAGAGGGGCTGAGCCCCGATGATGCCTCAACAAGTGCAAGAGCATAATCTGGTATTTCCCACAGAGAAAACAATGAAAAAAAGAGAAACAGGTGACTGATTAAAAGTTTCCCCCCTCCTGTACACAAGATTCTGCAGTCACGCCGACAGATAGACATTAAATAATTCTTCCATAATAAATGATTGGAGATAAAAGCCGGCGGTGGCTGCTGCTGCTGTTTGGATTGCTCCGTTGTCTGCATCTTTGTTTCTAGTTTGTTCCCCGGCCACAGTCGGCTGGTGCTGGGGCTGTCAGACCTTTGCCTCTAGCATTTCTAGGAAGAGTTTATGCATGGGAACCTTGCCCTGCAGTTTGATGCTGTAGAAGTGCTGCACAGCTTTAGCAGCCGTCTGCCGCAGGAGGGGCAAGGTCAGGAGCAGCTTGCCTGCTCGCCGGGGCTCCTCATTGCGCTGACTCAGCTCGTAGTCCTGCAGGGCTTCGTGGAGAAGGTCCTGGAGTTTCTGCACTGCATCCATGTCCTCTATGTGCATGGAGTCTGGGGTGAGGGAGAAAAGACAGCAAACAGACAAGTCAGACATGAGAAAAGAAATCCTTTATGGTTCTGAAGCTAATGATTTTTTCTTTCCTTCTTATCTGTTCCTGTGGGGGGGTTTTGGGTTGTTTTTGTTCCCTCCCTCCCCAGGGCAGGGGTTGAGGGGTGTTGTTTGGTTTGTTTCTTAAGTGGAAAAAAACCAGCTTGCTGGCAGGGGTGGTGCTGCTGCCTGAAGTTTGGCAGCAGCCCTGTGTGTTGGCCCTAGCAGTGCAGGGACAGTAAGATTGCCAGGGGTAGGTGGGTGACACACGTGCCCTGTGTGCTGCCCATTTTGCCAGCCACCCCAATGCAATGCAGGGGTCAGGCAGGGGCCTTTGTGATTTGCACTTTCACTTGCCCTCCATGCTCCTTATGGGGAGAGTCACCCTGCAAGGGGCAGCAGCTGCTGTGCTGCCGCTTGGGAGCAATCTCATTAAGAATAATTAACGCTGCTATAGCGCTTCATCTGTCTAAACTGCCTAATTGCCGTGCAGCTGCTAAGGGTGTCAGCAAAACAGAAAAGCCCCAGTAGGTCACAGCCAGTGTGCCCAGGGGTGTTGCCAGACCCACCTTTGTGCATATGCCCCTGTTTTCAGAGACTGCCAGCAGCTGCTCAAGGAGCTTCCTGCTGGAATAGAGGAAACCCATGGCTCCTGCAAGGCCTCTTCCCTTAGGCTGCCAGTTGGATTTCTATGAGCTGTTGGAGGGGCTAGCAGGGTTTGCAAGGCTCCTTGGTGTGGCTGTGAAGCGAAGGTAGCTAGCTGGTAAGGGCTGCGATAGGGAACTGTGTTGAACACAGACTGCTAAACCTGTGGGGTAAGTCATGGTGTCAGAGGGAAGCACTGAAGAGCAGAGAGGCACAGCATCACCAAAGGTTTTCTCCTTTTTCATCTTGCTGATACGTGCTTCTTTCTTACAACCATGACAGAGCTGGAGACACTGATGCCTTGTCTTCATTGTTCAGAGACTTTTAATCAATACTGAACCTATTGATAAAGATTCCTGCCACAAGGCAACAAATACAGAAGCAATGGCGAAGAGAGAGTATGGCAAGCACACATACATACGTGTAGTTGCACCACCTGCCATCACAGCCTGGGCTTTGCAGTGTGGCAGTGCTCTGGCTCAGCCTACACACAAACACAAATGTGAGGACATGGGCTCCCCAGAGTGACAGCAGTGAAGGGGAGGAAAGCAGACTGAAGTGCCAAAATCTCTCTAGAAACATGTGTCATCTTTATGGAAAGCACAACACAAATTAGAGACTGTGAATTTTGTAAGATACATTTATGGTAAAAATGCTATTTATGATTCATGATTTATAAAGTATTACAACAGTTGGGAAAATATTATGTCTAGCAAGAAAGCTGTTTAAGAAGCTGTTTAGAAGGAATGCACTAATTAAGAAGGTATTAAAGGGAAGTATCCCTAAGAAGCCTATTGAAGAACGATTCTTGATACATTTACACTTTTCATCCGAGAGACCAGGCAAAGAAGCTCAGAAGAGGGCTGCTAGGTCATCACAGGGACCTGAGCTACACACAGAGGTTGATTCTGAAAAGTAGGGAGAAAGAAGCATGTTTCCAAGTCAGTTGGGCAACTTCTCCCAGCCAGGTAGCATCTCTGAAAAATCTCCATGCACAATCCAAGAGAAGTAAGTGGGATCTGTTTCCTGCCAAGAAAACCTCGCAGAGGTCGTTTTGAAGGCTGGAAATATCAAAAGCTGGAATGTCCTCTGTCCTTTCTGTTGAGTGTCCTTCTGGCTAGGGTCACAAAGGGGAGAAGTAATCACAGCCTGTCAAGAGTTTGCAGATCCCAGTGGGTGGTAGAATTGCTGTGCAATTAGCCATGTTTCAGGGTGAAGTGGGTGCTCTGCTTTTGGGTACTGCTGCTGTACACTAGACAGAATGCCAAAACTTCCCTTCTGCCACCTGGCTTCTGTAAAGGTGACAAGACTTAAAAGCACTAAATACTAAGTGTATACAGTGAGAGAAACTGGGGAAATAAAGATCAAAGTCTGCCCCACCCCCACCACACTCTGCTGAAAGAAGCTCAAAATTGGCATCTGACTGCAAAAAATAAAAGAATATTGCAGGATTAATTTCCTTGCAATCCATCAGTGAACTGGTGTCGATGGCATTGATAAACTGTTAATTACGAAATCAATAGCTATGAATTTTTACAGCTATCAGAGCGCTGAGGTTGGGGGCAGGCTGCCTGACCATGTCCCTGAGGGTCAGCTGGCCTAGAAGCTGGGCTTCATACCAGGAGCCTGTCTCCAGCACTGCTGGCATGGGGTACAGGGCAGGTGTGAGAATGGACAAGGCCCACTGCTTCCTTACCTAACTCTCTTCTTGCAGCTTCTGACAGGAATAGGAACCTTACAGGACCCATTAATACCCATTAAAATTTGCTATGCATCCCTTTGCCAGACCCAGACATTGCTCACTCTATCTTAGCATTAAAATGCATTGCAGAAAGAAAAGGGGAAATAAATTTTGGCCACTCTGGGATGTCCTAAAATGAATGTGTGCTGTATGCTAACCTAGAGGGCTCCTCAATACATAGGCTGGTCAATTTTTATTCCTCAGGATAGAGGACCTAGGAATGCTTAAAAATGGACTGCTGACTCTGAAGGGTAACAAATTAGGTCTATATCACCTCTACTCTGTTAAAAAAATGGGTGATCATATGGTCTGGGACTTGCCTACTGCTCTGGGAATTAAGAATTCATCCCTCAGCTCTCTGAAATGCACTTACTGGACAGACATCCCTTGAATTATCTTTGCCAGTCCCAGCAGGTGTGTTGTTGGTGCGTCACACCAAGGACTCAGAGATCAGCCTACTGTCAGCTTCTTCTCTAATAATTCTGAGTGAGCTCCCACTTCTATTTTCATTTGTTTGAATTCCTAGAACCAAACGGTCAGTATACATACTGACTGACTAGGGCTATATAAGTCCCTAGAATTGCTTGAGCAATTATACCCAGAATTTATCTACATGGGAGGGAAGGCAGAAAGCAGTTTTAGGCAGCACAGGTGCTAATCTAGGTGTTCATCTTTGAGCTTATCTCTGATCCAAGGGAGCTGAAGCCTGGCCCAAACTGCTCTCCTCCTATTGTAGGAATTGACTGTTTGCATGGCAAGCACACACATGCAGGCTCTGTCAAAAATACACTAAGAAAAATAACTGGCATTAAAAGAATGTGAAGGTTCAATGTTAGGTTACAACAGAAAAATACACTTGCCCTATTCTAGCTTCCTTATCTGTGTGTTGCAAGAAGCTTTAATTACATGAAAAACAAAATCCCATGCTTTGCTTTCATATGTTTCAATACAAATAACAAAGCAGGACTTTTGTGAATTATATTTCTGCATAGCTACACTTCCAGCTGCACTAGGAGAAACCAGTGAAGTCAGAGTGATTCTTTCCATCCAGCTGAGAACATGCTTTGGCCTGTGCCTCCTGACCCTTACCTCGGTTTCTTTACTCCACAGCACTGGAAATGGAGCCCCAAAGCATCTGATGAGTGTTGGTTGTTCTGCTCTGTCTTTGTTCAGTGTTACTCCCCTCCTGTGGAGAATGTCTCATAAGCTTTACTCTGGGCTTAGTCCTGGAAGCACAGTGAGCAACAACAGCAGAGAGTGCTTCTGTTGCACTGTGAAAAACTTGACAACAGTGTCCACAGCACAGGCCAGCTAAATGTCCCAGTGTGGCACTTCTCCTGTCACATCTGCTACCTTAGCACTTCAGCCTCTCTGAGGAGCCCTTCTCCCTGTTCAATCCTGTGACCCTCCTGGTAGACAGGGTCTTAACAGGGTGATGACATCACCCATAGCCACCATTGCACAGACAAGAGAGGCTAGCCTTGGCCATCTGCCCATCCTGGTTCACTGGCAAAGTGAAGGCAGCAATTAAAATTATAAAAGCAATATATGAGAAATTGAGAAAGGGAACAAAGTTATGAAGTGCAGAAAAACAATAGGGGAAATGAAGGACATACGAGGATAAGCCATGTCTAGAAGGGCTAAGTAAAGAACGGACAGTAAAGAAGTTTTATAAATATTTAAGGAATAGAAGAAAAATGATCATTTGTAGGGGGGCTCTTTTCAGCTGGAGATGATTAACCTATTAATAGCAGTGCAGAGTAGATAGAAGTCCTGTATGAGTATTTCTGTCTTATTTGGAAAAGAGAAGCTTTGTACACCTGTATTATATGAAGATGATCAAGACTTCAGTTTGTTGTTTATGCAAGAAGGTATTAGGACAAACTTCACAGAAATCAGCAGAGCTGCATAACTTGGCTTTAAAAGTTCTAAAATTTCTGGCTGAGGGTCATCCAGGGCAGATTAATTAGTCTTGGTATTCTTAAGAAATTCAAGATGACTGGAAATGTTCTAATGATGCACATATTTTCCCAGGTCTTATCTGATAATTTCTATGCTAGCCGGATGTGAGCCAGGGCAAAAAAAAAAACGGGAAAAAATAAAGGTGACATTCAATTGAGACTAATAAGATGGCATTTATAGGACATGTAAATGTGGCACTTAGGGACATGGTTTTGTGTTTGACTTGGCAGTGCTGGGTTAACAGTTGGAAGTGGTGATCTTAAAGTTTTTTTCCATCATAAATGATTCTGTGATTTTACTGCCAGTCAACATGATACTTGGGAAGAGAGGTCTTGTCAAACAAACTTGATTTCATTCTCTGATGAGATTACAAGTTTGGTTGATAAAGTTAACTGCACAGATATAATAGACTTAGGTTTTTATAAGACACTTGGCTTAGGACCACAGGACATTCTCATTAAAAAATTAGCACTATGCAATATCAATAAAGAACACTTTCAATTGATTAGTAACTGGCTAGATGACAGATCTCACAGTAGCTATCAGCGGTGAATCATCCCTGAAGAAGGAGTTTTCTCATGGGATCAGTAAAAAAACAAGCTGCTGCTCAACATTTGTATCAATGAACTGTAAGGAATTTTTTTTTTTTCTTTTATATTGCTACTGCTAAGAAATGGATGGATGGCAAACAGGGACAGAATGGTGTAAAATAGTCAGGCAGCCTCCCAGAATCCTGGACCACGTCCATATCCATATATCCATATCCAAGGAACACAACTATGGAACAGGAAGTTTATCATATCAAGCTGTCAGGTATAAAAAGACCCGGAGTCATAGGACCCAGCTCAACAAAGATCCTTCTTTTGAGGCTGAACTCAGGCAAACAGACATTAAGATATGCTGCTTTTTTTTGGTTTTTTTAGCTGAGAGAATGATTAATTATTAGAGTCAGCTGCCAAGCAAGATGAAGATTCCCCCTCTTTTAATCTTCCAGCTTCACCCTGGGTGTTCTTCTTTAAAGTAGCTTTAGCCAAATGCAGATACCGGTTTCAGGGCTGGGCTGCAAGAGTGAATTCTGTGACCTGCATGGTGCAAATTTGGCAAAGAGATCTGATGTGAGACAATGAGACTCAGGGGATGTAGAGGGAGCCCTTGTCACACAGTAGCTTTAGCAGTTTCCCTTTCAGATGGGACTCCTGAGCAAATCTGTGTCTGGCATTTGATACAATGCAGCCTGCTGGATCCACATCTACAGTGTCTCCCAGTTAAACAGGGATTCAGTGCCTCTGGTACCTCAGCGTCTCCAGGACAGAGCCAGGCAGCCCCAACCCCACAGCTTTTTGAAATTGGGATGGGTTTCCCTGATTGCTGTATCTTACCAACACTGCTGAGGTGGATGCAAGTGTGGCTCACATCCCTTTTCTGAGCTCATGGCACTGGAGTTGGCTTGCTAGTGGAAAAGGCCTCCACAGATCCTTTTACTGCCTGAAACCAGCAACCAGTCCATCCCTGTCTGTTCCACTCCCTACTAGAGGGTCAGAGCACAGCTAGGGCTCCAGCAGCAGTAAGCCTCCTTTCTCCCTGCTTTCCAGCTTAGAGTGGAGCTTTGAGAATGTTGCATGACACAGGCAGAGATTCTTAGGCAGTAGGCTCTAGTCTCCTCTCAGGTCAAATAACAGCATGAGCCTTGACTGCCTAGTTGCAAGAGTGGCTGGGCCAGGGCTGTACCTGAGTTGGCGAGGGCCAGAGCTTTGAGTGTGACAAATTCCTCCTTTTCCACCTTGAGCTTCTTATAGCGGCGCACCAGCTGTAGGATGGCCAGGTAGAGCTCCAGCAGCCCTGTCAGACGAGAATGCTCTTCATCCATTATGTAGTCCTCAGCATAGACCAGCTTGTCCTCATATGGCAGGGAGCGGTACACAATGCCCAGGATGAGAATTTCCATCCAGGCACTCTGCAGAAGGCTCATCTGGTCTCCGAGGGAGAGGTTGGAGAACCCTAACAGGGCAAAAGACAAGCAGGGTAAAATGGGTGTGCAGCAAAGCCTAAGGACTAGGGTCCTTAGTTTCCCTAAGATTCAAACCATGCACTCTTCCCTACTGACCTGCTGCTTTAAAAAACCCAAACAACTCACTAAAGTGACCCTGTTTATGTAGCAATCAGCACACATGGACCTTACCCTTCTCTTTGCTCCTATGCCCACCCACAGTCTTAAACAGGAGTTCTGATGCTCTGATTGCATTTATGGGAGCCCAAGGTTGGTGACAACCTCTTTTCAATGACCACTGCTTCTTTCATAGCAGCAACTCTTTTGTACAACATTACCTTCCCTCTCTTCCTCTGCAGGTCTGTATTGCAGCCCATTTGGTCTGTCCCAGCTCAAAAATGAGCAGAGAAGAGCTCCAGAAGGCAGGAAAGAGGGCTTCTGATGAGATGGGGGGGAATGACACAGGCCTGAATTACAAGTATCTTGTATTACTAGAATCTCTCATTTTGGCAAAGATAAGAAAAAGTACAACGAAGTACCAAAATGTGTCCAAAAATTAATACATTTGTGAACAGAATCCTCTTCTATTCAGCACACTTTAATCTCCGTACCAGTAGCTCTGCCTGCAATCCTATCCAGAGACAGAATACCTTTGTGGTGCCATACAAGTACCTAAATCATAGCCAAACCTGGTAGCAATGGAACAGCCCCCACAGTGAACCAAATATTCTCGCAAAATACAGAAAGAGCAAAGATAGACCCTGACGACCTCAGAGTCCACTTGAGAAAGTGAAGAGGAAAAAATACAGAGGCAATGTCCACCTCAAGGTAGGGAAAAAAGTGCATGGGAAGGAAAACTGTCTGTTATGCTTTCCATACCTGGTATGCTTGAAGGCCAGACCATTAAAGATCCTGGGAGTCATTACAAACAGGAATGTCAATCACAGTGTGTTGGTTCTCTCTAGGCAGCTTTTGCCCAGCATGGACAGGCAGAAATTGTACTTTTTATGGCAGCCCCTTGCTTCTAAAGGTTCCTAGGGCTGTGAAAGAATGGGACACCCAGACATGCCTTAGCTGGGAGGGTGATGCTCCACCGGCCTCCCCAGGGAGTTTTCCCCCCAGATGCATATGAAGCCTTGGTGATCACCAAGACACCTGTGAACTCATGAGCCTCTGTGCAGAAGCCTCCCAACTCTGCTGGCTGCATGCAAGACTCAGCTGGACTTCTTTATCCCACACCCCACCCCTGTTCATAGCTCTTGGCCCCACATCGGGGCTTATGTACACAGCCACCATGATGATCATTTGATTTCTCTTGTTATCAAGTTGGCAATTAACAAAAGAGCTGATGATTGCTATATTGACTGACTGTGGGATCTCCTTTTCTATCTGCACTATCTCAGCTGGGGAAGGGAAGGCAGAAGGATGGGTTAGTGGTATTTATTTATCTCTACGCCATGTTTTGTGTTTGTGTTGCCAGGGGAAGCAAAGGGTGATAATGGCCTGGCAGCCCTTGGACATCCAATTTCCCTTATCAGGCCACTGAATAGAAAAGAGGCCCCAGGCCACATTAATTAACAGATACCAATCAGCTGTCACGTGCTGTGTGTGCAAGGTCTGAGGGGAGCAGTGGGTGGGAGGGAAGAATCAATAAACCATTGGGGAGGAGTGCCAGAGGGAACAGCTAAAGAGGAGTCGAGGCTACTGGGGAGAAGAGCTGCAAATCCAGCTCCATTACTGTGAGACTGGTTCCTGTACAGCACAGCCTGTGCTCCACATAGCCCTGAAGAATCTCACCTCTTTTTCAAGCTGGGAGGTGGGTGCCTTGTCCTTTACCTCACCCTTCTGCCCCTTATGCCCTGCACTGAGAACTGTGCTGCCCTGGAATGCAGTTCTCCTGACTCAGTCCAAGTGCAGCTCCAATACTTGGGATCCTGTCTCCACACGTCTGCCTGCTGCACAGGGAATTGATGAGATTAGCCCTGAGATCAGAGTAAAGGTGCACAGCCACTGTTCCACTCTTTAGAAGCTGAGATCTCTCCTCTGGTCATCCGTCTCCTAGCTCTGACCATGGACATAAGTCCAACATTTAGGTTGCTGCCTTAAGTCCATTTTCTGGATCAGTCACATGGCCTTTCTGCATCTTCATTCCCCATCTGAATTACAAAAGGCATTAGGGCATTGCCTCACTGCAGTCTGTGAACAACACTTCTTAAAGATTGAGTCATGTAGTAGAGTGAGGGGATCCAGGACAGGCATGGTTTGTACTTTTCTGCTACAGAATTAAGAAGAAAAAATTATTTAAGTCTAGCAGTAGCCAGTACACACAGCATCTCTATTAACTGCCCTTTCCCAGAGGCTGTTGTGGCAGGTGAGAACAGGAGACACCATATTTTACCCTTTGCCAAGAAGAACAGAACAGCCAACTGCAATTGCCCCACCCACCTGGGAAAGCCCCTGGCCAAAAGCATTCCCAGGTAGCCAACAACTCCAGCTCCAGCAGGCGAGTGGGAAGAGAGAGCGCTATGGTGTCAAGCCTGGACTTGAAATGTCTGACAGAACTGGGAGCCTTTCCCTCCAGCGTTCACACATGTGGAGTGCAAGGACTAATGGACTGTCCCCGAAGCACTGCAGCAAAGGTGAAATCATATAATTCTCTCAAGCTATAAGAGTTGAGATCAGGGAAAGTAAATGTTAATTTCACCTGACCAAAATCACAGGTTTGCTATTTATTATGGGATTTTAACACTGGGGAACCTCTAGCTGTGAAATTTTCTGTCCTCTTACAGCTCCCAGGAATTGCTAGAATTCAACTATTTTGCATCCTTGAGCTGTTGATGGCCCAGCATCCAGAAAATGCCCTTAGTGATCCATTTCTTGCTGCTTTTCTCAAGTCTGACCCTGAAAGGTGCTTAATCTACCAGTGCCCCAAAAGAGAAGCCCCTGGCTGTAGCACAGAGCTGCATACGTATTTCCCTCCTTCCCAGGTACATCTCGAGAAAAGCTGCTTTATTTTCAATAGCTGATGGAACATTCAGGTTGGTGGTTTTTTATTTTATTTTTTTTATTATTCTTTCAGTGGTTTGGCAGTGGGAGCTCCCAGAATTAAAAAAAAAAAAAATCACATAATTTGTGGCAAGTGGAGTTCATAATCTGTTAATTTATTATCATTTCTGTCATCCTGGAGGGCCATTAGCAGAGGTAATAAAAGGAGATGTAATTATAGGATCTGAGGCCACTCCAGACACAGCTGCTGTCACTCCACTTGCCATATTTCATTCTGTGCTAGTACTAATGTCTTCCTGGTGAGAACAGCACAACAGCTACCCTGGGAGAGCCTTCATCATCACCCCTCAAGAGAAGTCTTGTCACCCTGCATCAAAGAAAGAAGAAAAGGTGGATGTTGTTCCAAGACAATTTCCATGAGGGGAGAGTGAGCAGGGGAGTAGTGTGGAGAGGGGGCCTCATACAGAAGCCCCACATTGGCTAAGTGTGGCTTTTGAGCTCATGGCCAATAAGGTTGTTGAACTGATAACATTTGCTAAACACAATTAAATCATGTTTTATTGTTATCACGGGAAAGTGTGTTTAAGTTTTACTGATTTTATTTGCTAATACTGTGGGGTAGAAGTTTGTGTTGACACCTGGGATCCTTCAGGGTTGGTATGACTTTAATGTCACATCTTTCTTTACTAATTCCAGCATAACTATAAGGCAGGAATATATTACTTTTTCTCCTTTCTCCATCCCTCTCTGACCAAGAGTTTATGCACACAGGAAGCAATGTAATGTTTTGCTCAAAATTCTTGGAAGGCAGAAATACAGGGTATAGATAATTTAGACACCTGGCAGGCTCCTGGCCCTGCTCTGCTCTGCCCCCTTGCTGCATAACTCAGTATGTTTCATACTTGTTGCAGAACTACAGAGTTTTTGTCCCATTATTATGGATTATCTTTTTTTTTTTTCTCAGTACTGATCTCTTATGTAACAATTCTTGAGCTCTTGCCTGTGCACAGTCCCGTTATAAAATACTGCTGCTGGTCTCAGCTGTGCCAGGCTGATTACTGTGGCTGTTACTGTGTTGTAGGGCCTTTGATAGGAGAGGAAAATACAAAGAGAAATTTGAGATGATAGCTGGTATGTCCTGATTTCAGAAAGGAGAGGAAGAGTCCTTTTCACAGTGCAGGAGCAATCTCTACTGTACTTCTGTTCTGGGATAGTATTGCCAGGACGGAAAACTCTATGGGAACTCGGCTCATCCCACAGTTACAATGTAGGAAACAATAGCAGGGCACTCTGTGTGAACAGAAATAGCCAAGGTTAGAGGGATGTACAACAGCATCTCACTGGACAGCCGTAGCAGCTAATTGCATTGCATTAAAACCACTCCTGTTAACACACCAAGTACTGGGTTAGTAGAGCAATCCAGGCTGAGTTCTCTAATCATCACTGTAACCCCACTTGTGATGAATCAGCCCCAGATGGATTCCAGCACTAGTGATGGGTATAATCCCTGCAGATATGGCAGATCTCATGTAAGAAGGGCACCACCAAGATTAACCTCTTCTCAGAAATACTGTCCTGAAAAAGTTACTTCAGACTTCATAGTCCCATCTCATAACAATCTATATTCCATATAGAACCATTAACTCTTGGGTCCCAGGAGAAACATTCTACAGAAAAAGAGAAGCAGCTACCAAAAAGCCAAAAGAAGAGCAACAGAAAAAACAAAATACATGGGAAAACTAAACTGTCTGATCTCTCATATTAAGATGCTTCATCAAAAAAATGAAGAACTTAAAGACAAGAAGCAAAGCAAAACAACACAGACCCATGCAGTGGAAGACATAGACAACATGTAGTAAATCCTGTGATCCTGTATCAGAGCCTCATATATTCTCCTGACAAAAGGAAGGGGGACAGAAGGCAGAAGATAGCAGAAGTGAGCTGTTTATAGCTTTAGTGAGTTGTTCGTAGTGAATGTGTGAAGCAATCTTTGGAAAGTAGCCTTGTAAATCCCAAGGATATCCTCTAAGTTCCCTAGCTAGCCTTCTCCACACACAAATCCAACCTGTATATTCCTGGTGGGGTTGGAGAGAGACTAGAGAGAGAGAGGAGCATTTTCCCTTCCCAATCCAAATCTGGGAAGAACTCAGAACTCAACACTGAGGGCCATATCTGCTCCTTCAGCCTTGGTCCACCCTACCTGAAGTTGTGGGACACTTGTTATGTCACTCAATCACACAGACACACACTGCCTGTAGTCAGTGAGCCTTCCAAGGCCAGTCACACTGCCAATAAGTTGTCCTCGTTATTTGTTAACAAAGAAGCCTTGAGATTCAGTGGCAATAGCATGTCATCTATGGCAATGGGATTTGTTCTGTGACAAATCCATTATGACAAGCTTTCCTGAGTCTGGACAAGAATGCCCACTGCTGAGAGGGTGTTATTAGCAATAAAGTCCAGTCACTGCCATAATATTTATTCATCTATAAACACACAGACCTAGGTCATGTTGATGTAGTGCAAAACCATGAAAGTCCACCATACCACCCCTAAGGCTGTTTCCCAAGTGCTTTCACTGGGCCAGTCAATGACAGAAAACTTCATAGTATCGTATCAAAGCCTTCTGTGTAATCCCAGGGCACAAACACATACAGTGATCCATTTATGTACCTCCATCATAGGTTGCTTTGGAGCTTGTTACCAATGAGAGCCCATCACTAGCAGTTTCTTGTAACAGTGCTTTTCACCCATCACTGTAGGAAAAACCTTAACCTCCTGGTTGAGGCCAAAACTGATAAGCACAGAGATGAATAATAGCTCCCTTTGCTGTTCATGTTTACACCCTTGAAATTCCCCATTTACCTGGGATGTGCTTTGCCCAGCCAATGATCACCACCAGTTCCCTGTCTGCCAGGTCACAGAGGGTTGTCAGGGCTTTGATGTCACTCTCCGGCATGGTTGGATCAGGCATGGCATAAATCTTCTCTGGCTCAGCCACCAGCAAGTGGGAGACGATCTTAGTCACTGCACATTTCAAAGGAGAAGCTGTTGTATCTCTTGTGACATAAGGTGACATGACTATGGAGCCCCTAGGACCTCAGTAATGGTTTTGGTCACAACAGACGACCACACTGCAGCCACACAAGCTGTAGTGATCTGCCTATGCCAAACCAGCTCTGGACAGGGATGACAAAAGCAGGGAGCTGCTGCAGTCATTGTCTCAGGTAGGTCCAGTGAGGGGAGAAGGAGGTATAAGCAAAAGGTTGATGGGTTATGGAAAAGTTTAGAGTTGTGGGTAGTGTTGAAGAGAGAAATCAGCATGGGCGGGGTTTTGTTAACATAGCTTGGGTAAAAGAAAAGATCAGAACATCACTAAATGGATTTACATAATCTCCTAGGAAAGGTCTGGTATTTAACCTAGGGGCAATGAATACAGTACCTGAGCTGTACCTAGGCCTGTCTAATTACCTCTACACTATGATTGTAAGAAAAAATTCAAGTACTGTTGACTGATAAAAGAACTGGAAGTTACAATTGCTACACTGTACTTTTGGGAGACCAGTGAAAAGAAATATAGTGGCAGCTCAGAGGACCACAATTCAAGACCAATACATACATGGCTTTTTAGCTGGGGGAGGGATCTGTAAGCTCAGGTAAGTGCTGCTCTCAGAATCCAGTCTCCTTTTGTATTTCTGACGGCCTCCACGGACTCGATCCAGACGAACACCTGCAGGTACAACCAAAAAAGTCCTCATGATTCCTTAGTGCCTTACAGAACCTTGACATGCAAATACTAAAATTTGCTAAGTAAGATATTCCCCACACTCCAGGGAGCTTCCCTCTCCCAAACACTTGAGATCTCAGCTGAACACATCAATCTCAATACCAGCTAGACTGCCTCCAGCTCTAAGCATGCTGCTCTGAGCTTTACTTTTATTCAAAACATTAATGAAGACAGAAATTAACCCATTCAAACTCTTGAATCACTATAAATCTGATGGGCAAATGAAAAGCTTCAGACCTCGATGCACTCTACATGTGATCCTGCTTTTAAAAAGAAAGACTTTAAATGTCAATCAAACTTGTAGTTATAAAAATAAGCTTTTAGATTGTTCTTAAAAATGAGAAGTTAAATGTTCTGTGACCTCTCACTGTTTATATTTGAAAAAAGTGACCTATAGCAATCAGATAATGAACTATGAATTCAACAAAGATGTTTCAGCCTTGATCAAGTACGGCAACTGTAATAAAAGTAGAATCCAAATAAATAGAAACAACCTTGACTACAATGAAGCAATGATAAAGATGAAGTAGGGAGACACTGAAGAATTTGTTGCAGCTCTTTCAAAGTACAGTGAACCAAACTGGAAACTGCACTCTGAAAAAAATTCCCAGTGACTGGGAAGTACCAGTGATTGTCACTGATCATGCAAAAAACCATAGCATCATCAATAGATCAGGAACAGCAACTAAGTTGTCCTAAACTCTGAAAAAAACCCTACTGATATTTGTGCAGTTGTCTGTTATTTCTGAGCAGCCATATGGACTCTGATAATCAGTCTGTGAAACTGCGGTTACTTAGTCTTGCTGGGAGAAACAGCTTTGGAAAAAAAATCTTCCAAGGTAAATGTAGGAGCATGTGATTAGAATAAAATTTTGAATTTACACTATACAAGTACTACCTTAGAAACACACAGGAGTTTATCTAGTCTGATCATGGGAACCAATTATGTGATACACTTACTAATCACATGAAGTCATTAATATTTTGCAATCATACTGCTACATAAACACAAACAACTAAAAGCAAACACTCATCAGTTTTGAAGTGACACTTTTTGAACAACCTATACAACTGAAAAAATCCGCAGTCAGCTGGCAAATATTCTACCCTGGAAGGGAGCATGTCTGTCACACTGCATTTCAATGCTATATTTGCTTACTCTGTCAGGGAAAAGAGAAAGCTTTTACTGTAATGCTCACACCACACCTGCACCACCTGAAACTGCTACTTGCAACAACATCTAGATCCTGATACTCTTCATGGCTAGAGCACCAGAACAATTTGACTACCAAGTGCCCCCTAAGCAATAAGAATAGCAGGCCAACAACACTCAGTCTAGCAGCAGTATCTCCCACTGAGCAGGAGGAACAAGAATGAGCAGAGCAAGGGAACTGCTGTTGCACATGGCGGCTGTGAGAGGACAGCAGATGGTGAAGATGGAGAGAAAGGTATGAAGCTGATACAGGTGAACTCAGGTCACACTGAGTAATTTCTTTCCCCTGCCCCATCTACTATTTCTTACTCTGTATGGAGAGTTCACTGACATCCCTAATCCCACCTTTCTCTTCCATTACATGGTATTGTTTCTGAAAATGATGCCTGTTCCTGCATTTACTTCCATTTCCAGTGGCAGGTAGCCTGTGGGCAAGACTCCTTCCCGGGAGCCCAAACATGCTTCAGAGAGCAATTTCAAAAAGGATAGCCAGTGAATCCCAAACCTAAGGTTATCGAGGGAGATCCCTGAGGAACAGCAGTAATAAAATCCTGGATGAAGCAGGAAATTTTCATTTCCATCCATGATTTCTTTCCCTCTATAAATGTGCCTTGGTTTCTTAAAAAATAAGACTCTATTCCATGCTTTGCTGAATGAATGACACCTAGCTATAAGCCAGGAGAGAAGGGAGGGACACAAATTTCTGGAACTGACAGTAAACCAAACAACCAGTTATTAAAATTAAAAGGGTCAGGACTACACTGTTGGAAGATTATAGAGGAATCCAAAACAGGCTGCCAAGACTTCGGGACTGACATCTTCCCAGGACTGTACCAGATAAGGATCACAGGTGGGTGCATTCCCTCACACCAGTGGTCAAGAAAAGGGAAAGAGGGAGATGCTATTCTCAGCCAGCAGAAACCAACACACAGCCCTCCAGGATGCTTTTGCTGTGCAGTTTGCTAAGCAGTGGGGAGGGGGAACTAGGAGGAATAGGGAGGGAATGGGGGAAGGAGCCTGTTTCCTCCTCCCAAGGAGAATGCCATCCTCCAGTGCTTGGCAGAGGGATGGCTGCACAGGTTGCAGCAGTATTAGGGACCCTCAATCAGATTATAAGGACACAAGGGACTTAAGTGCATTAAAAAAAGATAAGAAAGATGCAGAGAGATTTACCCTCCATCCCTCCTTCCCCCACTGAGCAGATAGAGGTCTGTTTGCCCAAGGACTTCATCTTGTTAATTTTGAACAACTGTTTGTCCTCCTCTTGTTCCCCTTCCTGTGCGACACTCCTTGAGGCAAACGTTTTCAATCAGCACTTGCAGAGCCACAATTCCACCCTGTCATCACTCCAGCCACAGAGCTGGTGAACAGGCTGAGCCCCACACAGCACATCCCAGCTCCAGCTGCTGAGTGCAGTGACCCACAGGTACTGCAGTAAACAAAAGCATTTCAACCCTCGAGTCTCTGACTGTGACATTCCAGACATAAGCATCATGGTAAAATCCTTTCTCTAAAGATCTGACAACCTAATGGGTTGGAAGGGAAGGGCATAGCCAAAAATCAGAACCTGTGGTATGTAGGTACTTGGGTTAATGCCTGCTGCTCTACTAGATTTCCTCTGTGGTTGATTTTAAGACAGGCTGGTTACAGTGCAGCTCTGAGTGGGACACTAAAGGACAGACATTAAAATGGAGTGGGGAGGTGGGTGAACTCAGAGAAGCAGCATGAAAGAAAAGACTGAGCAGAGAAGAAATGGAGGGGAATGTAAACTGGGATATGAATGGAAGTGAGAGAGTGTAAGGAGAAGGGAGACAAAAGAGTGGCTGGGGCAAAACTGAGGGACATGTATGCTGTAATCACAAGGGCAGGTTTCACACCACATGTGCAGCCACCTGAGCATTACCTGCAAGGTGCAGCAGCCATGCATGAGATGCAGCTGTCCATACTGAAGACTTACATAGGATTTGGTACTGCAGCCTCACAAGAAGACAGCAGCAAAATAAAGCTCCTGCACAAACCCTATGCTCACATGAACCACAACTGGCCAGTTCAAAGGACAGAAGACATCCTACAAAAGTGTCACTACTACAGGCACTCCTGGGCCCCCCTTTGTGTCAGCAAGGAGTTGAGATCAACAGTATAGGACAAAGTTTCGAAAGCACCACTCCTTGATAACTTTTCTTGCTGGCAGTTCCTTCAAATTAAGGCTATCTATTCTGGAAACATGCCCTCTCCTCCCATTCTCCTGTATGGCAAGAAAGTGCTGCTGTTCATTCAATTTTGTTACCTTTTGAGCAACCCTTCATAAAAGTCCTCCTCATCAGACTAGCTATGGAGCTGACCCTGGTGTACACCTCAGGGATTGAGTTCCAGCTCCCTGGCAGGTTGTTCTCAGCTCCCCTGCCTGTCCAAAACCCTCTGACCTTGCAGGGAGGAGGGCAGGGCCAGGACTTGTGCAGGACTTCTCAGCCCAGCATCCTGCCTGGGGCAGGGATGTCAGTTTTCTAAGTGTCCTGTGGGTGCCACTCGTGTTCCAAGCACTCTTGCAGAGAGGTCTGTGCCAGCACCAAGCCTCTGCAGTGGGAGAGCTGATCTGCTGATCGTTCAAGCTCCCTGCATTGCTCTGACATGCCCCTTGGAGAGACGTCTGCCCGACAACTTTGGGATCAGATGTCCCCTTACCGACTTGATAACATCAGGCCTTGGGGTTTTTTTCTTAATGGAAGTAAAATAATTCCATCTTTTTTTAAAAGCTGGACCCAGGCCGAGACTGTCGGAAGTAAAAATAGCCAAGTATGCAGAGGCGACAGCACGCAGAGTCAGGTTTAGTTTCTCTTTTATTTTCTGGGGACTAAAAATACTTTTAAAAGCTCTGTGAAGCTAAGCCCTGGCCAGTGGGAAATGCAGTCAAGGCCCAATATCAGCTGTCGTGTCAAATTACCAGCCTCACCTCACTTTCCATCGAGTCCTATCACATGCCCATGGATTGATAGGAACAGAAAGATCTATCTTGCCAAAAGAGCTAACGGAGGAGCCAAGCTACAGGGTTTGCATGGTACAATGTGTGTCTAGACCAAGAAGGACACAACCAAAGGGAACACAGGGCAAGTGCTGGCCAGGAAGCAAAAGGGCTGCTTTTGCTGAGCTTCTCTGATACACTAGCCAGGTCCTGTGTCCACTGCCCACCTAATCCTTGAGCTGCACTTCCCACGCTACTTGCTCTCCCAGGGTCTGTAGGTAGAAGAGCACCTGTCTTTGGGAGCTGCAGTCTAAAGTACATGGATTGGTACTGGCCAAGGAAGCTGGAATGTATAGGTTAAGAGCAGAGAGGAAAGGAAGGGAGAAATGTTGTATCCAAAGTGTCTCCTACAAATTTTTCCTCTTCCTTTCTGCTCTGAACTTCAGGAGAAACAAGAGCATGAGGTAATGGGATGAGTGAGCCAGGAGGAAGCCTGTCAAGGAAACAGAAAACAGAGATGACCATTAAAAGTCAGGCCTGCCAAGATGGAGAAAGAAATAGACTATAGGAAAAAGCATCTCTGCCTAACAGGAATGGAGAGGGTGCAAACTAACTAGGCTCCCTTTTGTTACCCAGATTCCAGCTTGGGAATGAGGAAAGATCCCTTTATACTATTAGGCTCTAACACTGTGGCCAAAAGAGGCCAGCCCCTAGAGAGTCTTCTGAAACCTTTGATGGTTTCAGGGTTATGTTAGTCATGTAGGAAAGTTT